GACATCAAAACCAGAATAGAATTTATTTATACTCAATTGAGATAGACTGAGATAGACAATAGACGAGAAGATGCAAAACAGAGGCGAGTGAGACAAACACACCTGGAAGTGTTAGAATGAAATCCCTTTCCTGTTACTGCACGCAGTCCTGGAATCAAAACGGGAGACTTGAGTTCCAGGTGCCCATCAAGGCTTCCATGCAAGCTCTGAACATCATCTTTGGCATGCGGGACTGCCCTATGGGCCCTATGACCTCATGATTCCTCAAGACTCATGACTCAGCATGCATCATGGTGGCGCCTTATGGTGGCTCCTTATGACTCCATGTTTCATAGATGCCAAAGCTGTGATGTGGCGATGTGTTTTTGCAAATTCTGTCAGGACCAATTTGACACGAAGGTCTATGGCATTGTGATTCAATCGTTGGTGGAGGAACCTGGACCTCTGCCAACACTCTTCATGCGCACGGTGATACAAGTGGTATGCTCACCCAGTCATTGAAACAAATTGAAACGGAGAGTCTGAAAAACTCAGATAAGAGACACCAAAGGTATCTCCTCAGAATGCTTTAAAGATTTGCAGGTAGGTTCCAAGGGATATCTAGAGAGGCTGCAAGAAGCTTTTGAGGTGAAAGAGCTTCCTCGACTTTCCGATTTCATCGTGATGGAGATACTTCCCAGACTTGTTCGGCAAGAAGTTTGGGGAGACGAGAATATGTGGTGCTTCCCATAGATTTTCTGACAGAAGTCATTTCAATTCATTTCACATATCCTCCAATAAATCCAGTGGCATCACTCCGTTTGTGTTGATTAGAAAATTTGTGACTTGACTCACTCGGTCTTGGCTAAGGCGAGGCTTCATGATCGTGCTCCAGCACACATTTGCAAGTCAGCCAACGGGTGCTGCCCGAGTTCTGGCCATGCTTCCCATGTCGCAGCTGGAGGACCCTCTCCCAGACTCATCCACGCATGTGACATGATGCACTTTTGGTGTTTCCAGTCAACATTGACTGGTGCAGAATGTACAATCTGTTACTTTCAATGATTACTGTACGTAGGCGTGTGATGTGTATGCTTGTATGTGTGTGTGTGTGAGCGTGTGTGTGTGTGTGCGCGGATGGATGCATGCATGCAGTATCATGTAATGTGAAACTGCATGTGAAACAGCAGTGACATAGCATTCCACCTTTGCAGCATTCAGTCTTGCAGACATTCCATGCGCATCCCAGAGCGCTCTTTTGCCCAAAGAAAAAGGTGCCTCACTTCCCGCACGCCGCTGCCGGGATTTTGATGGTAAGCGGAGCCCTGTTCACTCAGGGCCTCTGCTAGCTGGTGCCTAAGGTTCCAGCCCCTTGCACTCGTTGTGCAACCTGCTGGCAGCCCTGCGGCACCAGCCTCCTACTACTGGTTGGAACTTCACCATTGAAGGTGTCTACAACCTCCCATGACTTCCTCTACTACCTCCAAGATCGTTTGCGATCGATACGGAGTTCCTCAGTATGCTGGCGAAGTGGAAGCTTTTGAAGAATATGTAGAGCGTGCCTGGGACTTGTACTTTGGAAGAGAAGGTCAAGAATCCCAGGTGTCCACTCCGATCCACCTTCGCTCAGGCCTAACAGGCCACGCATACGAAGCTGTCAGAAAGCTGGAGCACTCAAAGCTCCGAACTGCGACTGCTGAAGGAAAAGCCACTGAAGGGGGAATGAAGTTGTTGATTCAGACTCTCAAAGAGAGCATAGCAGCTGAGACGCCAGTGAAGATTAACGAGCTCTTCTTCACTGCCTTCTACAGCGCTGATGTCTGGAGAAAACCGCAAGAAAGCATGCAGCAGTATATCATCAGAAGGGAGCAGGACTTTGCTCGTCTCAAGGAGTCCTCCCAAGAGACCACCGTCAGCGACAACCTGAGGTGCATGATGCTGCTGACTTTCAGCGGGTTGGATCAACGTGAACAACTAGGAGTTTTGGCTTCTGTTGGAAACGAGTACGACTTCAAGAAGGTTTCCCATGCGCTGAGGATCCAGTTTCCTCAGATCAGTGGCAAGCCAGTGTTTCGACGTGACTATCTAGGATGTGGACGTGGAGGTGGTCAACATGGCACTATGAAATCGGCCAAGTGGAAGGTCGGTCAGGGCAGGTTCAAGCAACATGCCTTCCTGGCTGATGATCAGGCCGAAGATGATGAGCCTGAATATGATGGCGATGGATATTACGAAGATGATGACGCTGAGGCCGAGGACGATGAGGCAGATGACAGCTACCTCGCCTACAGCGACGATGATGGCCTTGATGCTTTGATTCAAGAATGTGGTGGATCGCTGGATGATCCGCAGGTTGCGGAAGCCTTTGCAACTGTGGCTCAGTTCAGAGCCAAGAAGAAGGGTTCTGGGAAGAAGAAGCCACAGTCCAGTGGCAGCAGCCATAGCTACCCGTTCAAAGCTCATGGCGACATCCAGTTCGACACCAAGGCCAAGGAGAACCGGAAAAACGCCATCAAGTTTCTGAAGAGCATGTCAACCTGCACCTCTTGCAACCAACGAGGTCACTGGGTTGGAGATCAGGAATGCCCCAATTTCAAGCCGAAGGGGAAGGGAAAGGGTCAGAAACCAAAGAAGTCAGGATCTCCGAAGAAAGCCTCTCATGCCATGTTTGTTTTGCACGATAGTTTGGAATCTGCAGATGAGAACGAAGTTCGTTTTGCATCCTTTGGAAAGCTGCGACCTGTGCACTCCAACTCTGAGCCCAATGCAGCCCTTGTGAATGACGCAGCTCCTGGGTATGACATCCCTCCAAAGAATGCCAAAGTTTTCAAGCCCTCCGCAGTTCCAAAGAATGACATGGTTTTTGAGAATGCCAAAGCCCCTGACGCCACTGCAGTTCATGTGAATGCCCTGGTCCCTGAGGCCTTTGCAGCCAATGTGAATGCCAAGGTCCCTGACTCCAACGAGTACAAGGTTGATGGATCTCAGAACCAATGCACTGCGACAGAGAAGAAAGACCCTGCTGTGCCTGATGGACCAAGACTTGCCGATGACAGCAAAAGTTTCACCGATACAAGTTTTCATGCGGAATGTTTCATGGTCTTGAAAGAGACCCAGCACTGCGAGCATCTGAGCTACTGCGGCGGAGATGAGAAGCAAATCCACCGTGGTGCGAATGGCCACACTCGCCATTTGACCTGCAAGCAATGCGACAAGACTGTGATTTGTGGCCGTCGCCGCGAAGCTGTCCAAATGTGGTCATACCTCGTGCAGGTGGCTTTGTGCACGAAGTTTGGCAGCAAGCTCAGATCGACTTTGATTTATCGGATCTGCTCCAGCGGACTCACAAAGATGCTGGAGGACAAAGACAAGCAAAAGGCTCTTGGCCATGTTGCGTCCCCTGGCAGCCCTGGATGGAGTGTGATTCCATCTGAAGCTGACTCCAGTCAGTTAGGCCAACGTGGCTATCCAGATGTGCCACGACTTCCAGCTCGGAAGACAGCAACCATTGTGAGGTCGCCTGAGACCCAATGCTGGCTCTTTGGTGTGCTGCTCGCTCCAGGCGTCGACTTGCCGCCGTTTCCGGAGCTGAAGCCTGAGGATTTGGATGTTTTGCAGCCCTTGCCAGGTGACGACACTGTGATGCCTGAAGGACCATTTCGTGGCTACAAGTTTGTGGACATAGCCACCAACTTTGAGTCCGAGCCCTACTGCAAGCAAGTGATGCACATCGCACTCAACCTTGAGCCCATGTCACCACCTGTTTTTAGGCTTGCTTCGTACTTGTATGTTAGGTTGCAAATTGCCTGGCAAGCTGGTGTCAAGCTCAGCGGAACTGGTCAGGTTCTACCTGCTGGCAAACGTCCTTTCAGCCCTGAGGACATGTTGACAAGCCGGACCATCAAGGTTCCCCTGCAGCTGGATTACTATGATCCGAGCTCTCTCAAGGTTCATGAGTGCGAAGTGATGATGGTTGATGAAGACCTCAACCTTGAGTCCTATGCCGTGCAGCCTGCAGACCCACCTGGTCTTGCCATACTGGACTCTGGGTGCAACCGCACCATGCACGGCGAAGAATGGGCCAAAGCCTATGAAGAGAAGCTCGCTGAACTTGGACTTCAACCTTCAATCCGAAACAAGACCCAGCTGTTCAAGGGGATTGGAGGACATGCTGAGTCCAAGGTCGTCAAGGCCTACCCTGTTGGACTTGGTGGAGTCAATGGCGAGCTCCACTCAGCAGAAACACCAGGAAAAACACCAATGCTGATTTCACGTCCTTTCATGCAAACCCTCGGCACAATCATCAACCTTGGCGAGGGGACGGTTTCCTTTTCCAAGCTCAACATCAGAGATCTTCCTTTGAAGAGAACCAGCCGTGGCCATTTAGCCATCTCTCTCTTGGATTTTGATTTGAACACTATGTCAGTTTTTGACGAGCTGGTCAAAGGATATGATGAGTTTGATGTCAATGCGGCAGAAACTGAGGCCTTGGACTTGGCTCCTGGATTTGAGCCGGCCTCTGAGGCTATTGGACTTCCTGCTCTTGGACTTGAGCAAGCCTCCGAGACCTTGGATTTGGCTCCTGGACTTGAGCCGGTCTCGCCGCCAAGTGATGCCCTCAGCCACAACGACGGACTTGATCCTGACACCAGGCGCGAGTCACAAGATGCCTGGGATGTCGTTTTTGGCATCGATGAAGCTGAGTTAGAAAGGGTCATGAATCAGCATCATGAAGGTTTTCACTGCGAGAGCACAGATGTTTTTCTGGAAGAGATTGAAAAGGGTTTCTTTTCAGTTCGAAAGCCCAGCAGCCGAAAAGCCAAAAAGATTGCTGCGATGGACACCGCACTTTGCGGGATGGATGCTTTGGTTTCCAATCAGCTCAAGATGCAGCAAGCCTCAAAGGCTGCCAGAAAGCCCCCAACCGGAAAACCATGGCTCAAACAAGTTTTTGCTGGACAGATGGGTTTGACCATTTTGGCAGTTTTCCATGGTATGGTTTTTGGTATCCCTCGCGACATCTCCTTGGACGGCTGGGACGCTTTGACTCCTGCTGGAAGGCGTCAGCTTCACCAAGACTTCCAACAGGAAGATCCCTTTTGCACTGTGCTGACGCAGCCGTGCGGTCCATGGGGAAATTGGTCGAGGTTCAACATCTCCAAGGGTGGCAGCGCTTCTGTCACCGTCCTTCAACTGCGAGAAGATGGTCGTCCCTTGCTGAAAGTTGTCAACAAGACCATCAAGGATAGACTCCGTGCCAACAGGCACATCTTCATGGAACAACCTCTGGGGTCACAAGTCCTTGATGAACCTGAAATGGCAGATGTTAGAAAGTTGGTTGAGGACGGCACTTTGCTGTTCATTGTGGTTGACGGCTGCATGGTTGGCTACAAAGGCTCCGTCACCGGATTGCCCAACAAGAAGCCTTCCTTTTACATCACATCAATGTTGTGTGCTGAGAGCGTTTTTGCAACATGCCGATGTGATCATAGCCATGAACATCAACCACTTGAGGGCAACAATGAGTTTGGCCCCAGAACCACTCAAGCTGCAGCATGGCCTTCCGAGCTCAACCAGATGGTTTTGGATTGCATCATCCAACAAGCCGCCATTGAGGAGCACCTCGCTGATGAGATCTATGCTGGTGATGCTCAGCGCCGTCCTGCGAGCGGTCTCTCTGGGAGATCTCCCAAGCGCCGCAGACAGGGTCGAATGGCAACGATCTCAAGCCCAGCTCCACCAGTTTATGTGCGACCACAAGGAGCTGAAGCACCTCAACCAGTTGGCGAACTTGGTGATCTACCTCCAGATGATGACTCATCCTTTCGAGCTCAACAAGCTGCAGCACTGGACCCAATCCTCAACCAGACAGAAGCTGATCGCCGACATCAATGGCTTCAAGTGGATCCTGAGATTCGCAAGTTGCTCAGAACCTTGCATGTCAATTTTGGACATCCAACCTCAACAACAATGCAGAGAATCCTGCGACGTCAGGGGGCAAAGCCGGAAGTCGTCCGAGCCGCTGGACTTATGGTCTGTGACGCTTGTGGTGAATCAATCCGGCAGAAACGTCCCAAGCCTGTGAGAATGCCATCGGCCTATGTGTTCAACCAGCACATCCTTGCCGACACCTTCTATGCCAAGAACAGCCAAGGCAAAAGTTTAGCCTTCCTCAACATCCTTTGCGATGCAACTGGATTTCAAGTGGTTTCTTGCCTTGGAGAACTGACTGGGACGCCATCATCTGGCATTGTGCTCCGTCACTTTTTGACTTCATGGTCATCTTGGGCTGGACTTCCCCATTCTCTCCAAGTTGACCGTGGCAAGGAGTACATGGCTCAGTTCTCAGACTACCTGAAGCAGTATGGTGTCGAGCAGCAAGTGATTCCTCTTGAATCACCTTGGCAGAATGGAAAATGCGAACGTGCTGGTGGCCTTTGGAAAGAAGTCTGGGCCAAGACAGTTGTTGATGTTGATGTTTCAACACTTGCAGATGCAATCACTGCTGCGTCAATTGTGACGCAAACCAGAAATGCCTTTCCACGCACCAATGGGTATTCGCCCAACCAGTGGGTACTTGGCCATCCTGAGACCCGCCTTCCAGGCAGCCTTCTCAGTTCAGATGAGAGCCAACAACTTGAAGTTCTCGAAGCAGCTGAAAACCCCCACAGTGAAATGGCAAAGACTTTGGCCATCCGTGAAGCTGCTCGAGTGGCTCAGATTCGTTTAGATTCAGATAGCCGTGTGAGGCGAGCACTGTTGAGAAAGAGTACACCAACACGTGGACCTTTTCCCATTGGATCCTACGTGTACTTTTACAGGCGCCAGCCTCAGCAACGGCAACAAGATGGCCGACCTTACAACTGGTATGGACCTGCGAGAGTCATTGGACTTGAACTTCGCAATCCACGCCGCACTGAGGACGGCGATCCAGCCACTGATGGCTCAGCCCCAAGCAGCTATTGGCTCCGCTATGGCCCCAGCGTGATTTTGGCCTCTGGTGAACAATTGAGGTTTGCAAGTGAAGATGAGCTTTTGGCAGCTCACTATGTGCCCCACTACGCCGTGGAGCAGGGAAGCGACCGTGGAGCCCGCAACTATGTTGACATCCGCAACCAGCTTCAACAACCAATGCTTCAGCCGCAGGGGGGTGGTGTCAACGCTGATTTTTGGCGCACTTTTCCAGATGGACGAGTTGTTCGGGTCCACAACGTTCCCAGAAAAGCACTTTATGTTCCTGATGCTTGCCCAGTCCCACTTGACCAACTCCAAGATGAACGAGTGACTGAGGCCATTTATGAGGCTGAGATGCGTGATCACGTCCTCACGGACACCATCACCGACAACTGGCGTCAAGACCTTGGACGCGAACTTGTGGCCAAATGGGTTGGCGAAACAATTTTCAGGACAACACCAACTCCAGCCTTGGCAAGTTCCTCAGCTCGGCCTGCATCAGGACAATTTGTGTCCCAACCTGCAATGCCTGCGATTCCTGAAGAACGACCAACAGCCTTCGATGATCCGCCTCCAGATGCAGAGCAAGAGATAAGGACGGGCGATGTGCCTTTGCAACAACAGCAGCAGCAGCAGCAAAGCCATGCTGGCCATATGAGACAGGTGGCCGAGCAAGAACCTGATCCTGGTCCGCAGACCCCAAGGGATCAACAACCTCCTCAACAACCTGCTCCTGTTGCTCCCTTCATTGCTCAGCTTCACCAAGCGATGCGGAATCCACAACGACTTGATGGGCATCCTAGTGGAAGCTACGGACTACCTCGAACAGCACCAGAACCAAGCTATGGTCCTCAAGGTGGAGGTGCCAGAGTTTTCACTGGGCCTTATCTTGGAGAAGCTGTCCAAGAGAATGATTGGCCTGCTGGATGCGAAGATCTATCTGACCGACTTGCTCATCGACGTCTGGCTGATGCGTCAGAGCACACTGACGATTCCATGTCTGATGACTCCACATGCTACGAGGAGAATCCCAAGCTTGAAGCGTTCCTGACTGGCAAGGCAGTTCGGTCCGAGATCGACCTCAACGACCTTTCAGTAGAAGACCGTGCCAAGTTTGACCAGTCCATGGAGAAGGAGTGGAACTCTTTCAAGAAGTTTAGCGCTGTGGAGATCCTTTCAGAAAGCCAGATTGCAGCTCTTCCTCAAGACGCTGAGATTGTGAACACGCGATGGGTTCACACTGACAAGAACCAGAAGCCGCGCTTGATGGCTGGTGCAATGCGGCGACGCACTGGGAAGTCTGAAGCTCAGATCAAGAAGGAGTACCCCTTCGAAGCCAAATCCAGAATGGTTGTCATTGGCTGCCAGGAGAAGGACACTGGCATCAGATCTGACTCTCCCACTGCATCACTCCTGGCCTTCAATTTTGTGACTTGTTTGTCAGTTATTTTTCAGTGGATTTTGGAAGCGTATGATGCGAGCACAGCATATCTCCAATCTCAAGGAATAGCACGTCTCCTGCTTCTCCGTCCTCCTCGACCACCACCTCCTGGAGTTTCCCCACATGACTTGCTGCGTGCGAAAGGCAGCATTTACGGCACGCGAGATGCTGGCCGTAGCTGGTGGAAGAAACTTTTCAAAGCTCTCCAGCGACTTGGCTGGGTGATGTCAAAATTGGAAGCTGCACTGTTTTACCTTTTTGACTCTGAAGTTTTGGTTGGTGCGCTCGTAGCCCACGTGGATGACCTTTATTCCACTGGCACCGGAAAGAAGTATGAAGAGTCCCTGAAAGTTTTGGAGAAAGAGATTTATTTGAAGAGGAAAGTTGGTGATTTTCGTTTTTGTGGAAAGAATGTGAAACAAAACCAAGATGGATCTGTTTCTTTGGACCAGATCGACGCAATTGAGAGTTTGGAATATATGGTTTTGCAGAAGAACAGGCGCGTCATGCCGAATGCGCCGTTGAATGAGGATGAGAAGTCAGCCTTCAGAGGGCTGATTGGTTCACTTGGATGGATTGCCCGTCAGACCAGACCTGACGTGCTTGTGAACGTTTCCCTGGCATCCCAAACAATGGGAAATCCGACGATCAAGGATGTCGTGGAGCTTAACAAGATTGTCAAGGTTCTAAAGGAGAGCTATGACTTCAAGTGGAACTTTGTCCCAAGCTCCAACCTCACTCTGGAGAATGCCGTGGTGTTTTGCATGGCTGACAGCAGTTTCGCAAACACGACCAAGCTGCGAAGCCAGTGTGGCTATGTGGTTGGTCTAACCACTGCTGACTTCACCTCCGGCGATGACACGCCGGTGATGATACTGGAAGCTTACAGCGGAAGCATCAAGCGTGTTTGTCGCAGCACTTTGGCTGCAGAAACAAACGGCTTCCTCACCGCGACCGAGGCCGCCGACTATGTGAGGATGCTCTTGCCGGAAGTGAAGCATCCAGGTGTCTCCATGGTTGACTTGGATAGGTTTTACCTGAAGGGCCTGCTCATCGCGTTGACTGACGCGAAGTCCTTGGAAGCCACTCTGAACAAGGATGCTGGCCAGCCTGCTGATAAGCGAGTGAAAATACTTGTCAGCCAAGTGAAAGAGTTTCTTGGCGGCGACAGCTATGAAGATGATGGTTCAGTACGCTGCCATTGGTGTGACACATCGCAGATGCTAGCCGACGTTTTGACGAAAGCTGGATGTGAAAGAGAACCTCTTTTGGATGCGATGACCACTGGAAAATGGCGCCTGAAACCAAGCGCCGAAGCCGAAGAAACCAAACAGAAGATCCGAGATGGAAGGAGACGCAGAAAAGCTGAGAAGCAATACTCTGCTGCAGGTGAGGACGGGTGTGAAACTGCATGTGAAACAGCAGTGACATAGCATTCCACCTTTGCAGCATTCAGTCTTGCAGACATTCCATGCGCATCCCAGAGCGCTCTTTTGCCCAAAGAAAAAGGTGCCTCACTTCCCGCACGCCGCTGCCGGGATTTTGATGTAATGACACGGATGTGGCATGGTTAAACGTAATGTAATGGTACGCAATGCAATGTGATGTAATGCAGTGGAGTGAGTCGATGAGAATGTAAAGTGAATGTAGTGTGGTGGTATGTACTGTAATGCAATGGAATGGAACGTAATGTTAATGTTATCTTTTTGGTTGTTTTTTGGTATGCAATGCAACATGATGTAATGATATGTAATGCATGTATATGATTGTATGCGTGTAGTGTACTGTATATATGTACGCATGTATATGATTGTATGTGTGTAGTGTACTGTATGTATGTAGCTTGTGTTTACAATACCTGTACATCCTCGAAGATGTAAGGATCCACTGCCTTCTAAGTGGGCACAAACGGAAGTGCGCGGCTGCTCATTTGCAATCGGCCCGAGGACGTGTTGGTTCAGCATCCCGATTGGAAAGCTCAGCTTCGCGATTATGTTGCAAGACAGCCTCCCGGGACAATCATGCCACATGTAAAGCAACTCTTGGAATAGGCTGCTGTGGCCTCAAGCTGAGAAAAAGAGAGCAAAAGGGCAGTGAAAGGTGGTGGACGCATTTTTTTAATACTTGAAGAGTTCGGGGTTGTGCTTTCGAAATGTCATATGGATGTGGATATGGGTCAACAAATAGACCGGAGAATCGCATATTTGGGTCCTTGTTGATTACCGGTTTCCATTTTGATCAGCTTCGGTTGGTTGGTTGGAAACTTAGTTAGATGGTTGGTTGGTTGGTTGGTTGGTCTCTTTCCGCTTGTCTCTCTCTCTCTTTCTCTTCCTCTCCATGTTCCTTTTTTCTGATGCTGCTGTGCTGGTTTCGGCCCAAGCGCTTCCATGATTGACATGAAGGTTTGAAGCAAAACGGTTTTGACAAGTTTGGAGAAGGGAAGTTTTAGCTTTGGGTCGGATTGGATCGATCCCATTTCCCATTTCCTCCATCAAGCCCCTCCTCCACACCTTGACCGATTGCGTAGCTGACTCAGCCCATGTGCCCACTTTGGTTGTTTCCGAGGAACCTGCCACATGCCAATGAGAAGGAACACCCCAAAAGGACACCAATCATCCCTGATCCCTCTTGAATTGCCACAAATGAGACACGCACACCACAGTACTTTGATGTTGATTCAGATGCTGTTATATTTGATCAAATATCACATTGAAGCATTTCCTTTCAGACTGTGGAAGCAATGAGCTGGCCAGGAAGCTGAAGCCTTGGAAGCAAAACGACATTTCTCATGCTTCATCGACTTAATCTTGAGTACATTTGAGTACTGTAGTCAGAATGAGAATCTTTGGAAAACACGGAACTACGATGAAGGTCAGAATATGAATTAATTCAAAGTCCAGTTGATTGAGTGAAGGTGAGACTGAAGGTGAGACTGAAGGTGAGACTGAAGGTGAGACATGGTGAGACAGCATGATCGATGCTTTCAGGTAGGCCCTCCAGAAGCAGAGCGCAAGTCTTGATAGGCCGAGTTTTGATTTGCGAGGTGAGTCTGCCTCTTTGTCATAAAAATGGCTGAGTCACAGCTCATGCCCGGCATGCATAATCATTCAAACTCTTCATGGCATAACGCAGCGAATCAATGCAAACACTGTCGCGGTTTCCTAAAATCGTGGGCACCCCAAAATCATCCAAAATTGGATCAGTTTAGTATCGAAACCTGTGATCCTGAGATCTATCAGTTTAAGAAGCCCCCATGTAGAGAATGATAATTTGCAGGTCAAAGTCAGGTCCATAGGGATTAACTTGAACAGTCCTCCGTGCGATAGTGAAAAGGCACATTCAAAAGAAAACAAAATCATGTACCTGGCTCTGGTTTTTGTGATGATTTTCTTGGAATGCTTTCATTTTCTGCCAGCTGCGCTACTATTTGGCGCATTGGCTGCGATCTCAGGACTGGTCTTGTAGCCTTATATAGTCAATCAGTAGAGCTGACGTTGTGGAAAAACAAAGGCAGGCTGATCCAGGAAACTCAAGCTGATGAGGCTTTTTCGGACTTTTCATGGTTTCGGATCCAAAGAAAGTAGAACGCTATAACAAAATGCGAAGTTTAATGAAAATCACTGGGCGAAGGGTCGATCTGGCAATGAAACCTGTTGAATCGGCTCGTGATAGAATCTTTTCCGCTGACCTTCTGTGTCTCTTGGCTGAAACATGTTTAAGGCAGAGCGGCTGGCTGCCTTCACGAATCCTTGGTACGGGAATGCACGCAGTGTGCGGACCTCAGCTCCTGCAGGTCACAACTGGGTCCCACCTCGTACCATTGGATTTGGGAGTGAGGTGCAGTCAGCAAGAACAAGACCACAACTTCACGCAAGCAGTTCAGAACTACCAGACAAGTGGAAGGCCAAGTTTGCTTTTCCACATTGTGCCTGCGCAAGTGAACTGATGCAGATTTTTGGATCTGATGCAGGCAGGACCAGCAGAGGTCTACAGCGGTGTTGCCCAGAAAGCTGTTTATTTGATGAAGGAGCGAACATAGAAGGGTCCACATTTTCACCTGCTCACACTGGCAAACACTGCAGAAAATGCATGATACGTTTCCAAATACACGTTTCCAAATACTGTTTGTGTATATATATATAATATAATGTAAAATATATACATATATATATATACACACACATACACACGTATACATACACATAGTGCATGGAGCACGCTGCAGCTCAGCTGTGGTCATTTTGCAGGCCTGCTTGAGACTTGACTGCTTCCTTAGTACACCTTGTTCTCACGCCATCCCTCAGACGTGCTTTAATTAGTTTCTTTCCTGCTTGCTGCATGGTGTTTTTGCAGGAAAATCCCACGCTGTTTGATATGACAGTGGATGAAGAATTGGAGGCCAGAATTTGATTCAGAAATGCAGCCCGGAACGCTATTTGCGTGAACCTATTTGAGCCCTTGGTACTCAGCGCACTGATCTCAGAAGCTTCAAGAACAAAAAGAAGAGGAAGAAAAGCGGAAAAACGCACGCAGCTCAGGTCTCGGCACAATTTGCCACCTTTCCTTCCTCCACCTCGACCCTCCTCGCTCCTCCTCGCTCCTCCTCGGTCTTCCTTGGTCTTCCTCGGTCCTGTTCCACCACGAACACAATCACCATCATCATCTCATATGATCTTATATGGCATATCACTCATATCACATACTAGTATGACATAATGATACATAATGTATATCTATATTTATCTATATATATATATACGTCCATTAACAGTTACATTGGAATTTACGTTTACATCCACAGTACGTATATGTTCCTGAGTTTTGTATAATTTGCGACCATCATTTGCAAGTGTTGGCACTTTGGGAAGTTTGCACTGTATCATTTTGGACCTTGGAACTCTTGGCCAGTTTCATGGATTGTTTGTTTGGTGCCCAGACGCAATCCAGACGCCTTGCCACATAATTAGTCTAGTGTAGTTCAGGGCGAACCCTCTATGTAAGTCAAACACCATATCATATGTCACATGTCAAATGCCCCACCATGTGTCAATCAAGTTTATATATCACCCATAGATACCTCTAGCATTATCATATTTGACGCATCAATACGTATCATTGATATATCACATATCCTCAGGGTCACCATCAACGTCGTGAGTTGTCTCGCGCTGCATTCTGCCCCTATGTTTGTTCTGTCCCCCATCGCGCCATGCAATTGGATACTTTACAGATTTGTTTGGTGCAAGGGGCAGGAGTTACTGTAACCTCCTTTATCATCCTTTATCTATCTACATGTATAATAGTGGATATGTGATATTGATATTAGATATGTGTATTGTATTTGTAGCTTGGCCACAGCCTCATGCTTTTCCAATGTGTGTGGTTGTTTGCGTTTGCGAAATCGGTCTACTTTTCTGTGAATGGCATTCGATGAGGGGATGAGGTTGGAACAACTTGCCTGCTGATTCTCTGCACAATTGATGCAAGCATAAAATTGGTGCCGATTGAATTTCGACCATTTGAGGGGGAATGCACGCCACCACATAAGACATGCTGAGGAAATGGAAGCGAATGCCAAAGAGGATATGACAAGCTTCGTTTTGAAATTTACACACATTTACAATGTTTTATTCTTCATCTGCCGTTCTTCCACTGTGGTGGCAATGCAGGGCAATCTGAGCCTCGCATAGGCAGTTGAAATTGATGCTGTATCCCTTGCTCTGCCGGTAGGATACACTTGTCCTTAGAAGACGCATTGAGGAGGTCAAGATGAACGAGCGTATTCGTGCCTGGGCCGCTTTGGGACAGATTTGTTGGGAAGTCACCAGGTTCCAGCCTGAAACAAAAGTGCACCATGACCAAGTCAGTTGGAAACAGCTGGAAACAAGTTTGACCAAGGGGATTGGTAAAGAAACATGTGTTTGACTGTGATATGAGTATGCCAAAATACCTCAACGAAGAAGTTACGTCAAGCGCATAGGTAGGCTGTACGCAGTCCTTGCTGTTCATTTTGGAAAGGGCGTCGAGGAATGTCTGACATGGGAAGTTGCCTGTGCAGCCCATGTTTTATTGCAATGTCTATGCATTGGTCTGGCTTAATTTCGTGATTTGTCCCAATGCCTGAATCCTCTCCATGCCTCAAGCAAGACGCCCTTCCCGATCCATAAAAACTCGAGATAGGCCCTTCAAATCCTTCAGACAAAAACACCAATCAACAGTCGTGATTCTATGTGTGGGCAAGATCAAGTGAACAAGTTGCTTGGATGGCTCCAGTGTGCCCACACATGGTAAACCGTGCTTTGACTTTGCATGCCTGGCTCTTCATGAAATCGCATGGTTGTTTGTCCGTGCAAATGTGTGACATTGCACAGCTATCTGACTCTACAGGAGGACTCAGCATCGAACAAAAGCACAAAATACATGTCGGACAAAACAAACCATTTGTTGGGCATTGCCGGCTCTTTGATTCCGGACCATTGCAGGTATGGAAGCAAACATTCTTCACAGTACAGGTAGCTTGACATGACGTCGATGACAAACAACCTTGTGTACTGTATTTGTATCCTGTCCTTTGCGCAGAAAGGTGCAGTGACTGAGCTGCTCTACCTCAAGGCAAAGCATGGCCGCATTGACATACTGTACATGTCATGTTTGATCAATGCTTGCTACTCGAGCAGCGCCTGGAAGATGTTCATTGCTATGAATTGATGTGACAATTGGCTTCATTTGATTTCAACGGATCGCATGTTGCTTTGCCGTGAAGGCTGTGAAGGCTGTGACGTGTTGCAGTACATCTTTGTATTTCTGTATATCCATGTCTTTGCAACTGTCTCTAAACACTTGAATGCGCAACATACCAGTAAGTAGCCTTTTTTACATACATTGTTTCTACACTCTACACGTAAATCATACATACGTACAGGAAGTCTGTTTGTTTCTATGATGCTTCACACTCATGTGTGTGTGTGCTCGTTTTGTAGAGCTACATGGGAGCAATTTGGTAAGATGCCAATAACTTTCAGTAGTGGACAAGCAAGGGACTCTAGTTCACATCCGGTCACTTTGGACACACTTGCTGAGTCCTCTGTCATCCTCGAGGCTTCCAGCGACTGTAACGGCATCGCTGGAGTTTGATTGAATTTCTACTATTGATAAAAAACTTGAAGACATCGGTGACATCGGCGTTGATTGTTTCTAAACAGCTACCTCAGCCCTTCATACTAGCACCCATTGGCTTGTGAACCTTCCCATTTCCGCCCAATTTCAGGCAAAAAATGGTTTTACAGGCATTGAAGGCTCTTCAAAACATCTTGGAAAAAGACACGTTTGACATTGGTCTTACCGGTGTTCACATGTGTTTGTACTATCATTCCAAGAGTCATTTTGTCATATAGTTCTGGTTTGAGCTTCCACATCATGTCTTAGGTGCAGTGACCTGAGATCCAAAACGCAAGCTGCAAGTTGACAGCATCATGAATACCGTTTCGCTGGACTTACAGTTGCCAGACATGCAGCATTGGTAGTATGTCGCAAGCTTATTTGCACATTTACTGTATATTTATGTATCTGTATGTATATGTAATATATATATATATATATATGAATATAGATAGATAGATTAGATAGGTAGATAAGATAGATAGATAGATAGAGAGATAGAGAGATAGAGAGATAGAGAGATAGCTAGATAGCTAGATAGCTAGATAGCTAGATAGCTAGATAGCTAGATCGATAGATCGATAGATCGATAGATCGATAGATCGATAGATCGATAGATCGATAGATCGATAGGTGGATAGGTGGATAGGTGGATAGGTGGATAGGTGGATAGATGGATTGGATAGATGGAAAGATGGAAAGATGGAAAGATGGATAGATGGATAGATGGATAGATGGAAAGATGGAAAGATGGAAAGATGGAAAGATGGATAGGTGGATAGATGGATAGATGGATAGATGGATAGATTCGATAGATTAGATAGATTAGATAGATTAGATTAGATTAGATAGATAGACCGATAGATCGATAGTTAGATAGGTAGGTAGGTAGACAGATAGACAGATAGACAGATAGACAGATAGACAGATACAGGATTGACAGACAGACAGACAGACAGATAGACAGATAGATACATACATTACTGCCACGTGTTTGGGTCTTGCTAAAGGTATGATTGAGACATGCTTAGGGTCTGTTTAGGGTATGGTTGGGATACGATTAGGAATTTTGCTAGTGGTGCTTACGGTATGATTGCAGAATGCTTACGGTACGTTTAAGGTTAGGGTTCGTTTAGGGTTCGTTTAGGGCTTGTTGGGGGCGTGGTTGGGTTATGATTAGGTTTTGTTTAGGGTTTGTTTCGAATCTATTTGTCTAGGGGTTGTTGAGGTCATGTTTAGGTAATGTATTGCTTAGGGTCTGATTCAGGTGGGTGTGTTTAGGGTATGTTTATGGTTTCGTCCCGGTTTCTTTTGTTCTTGTGGGGTTTGTCCACGGTATTTTTTGGGGGGTTCATTCAGGGTATGTTAAGGATTTGTTTAGGTATGTTTATGGCTCATTGAGGGTATGTTTCAGGTTTGCTTGCAGTAGGGTTTTGTGCGGTGGTTTGCCTAGGCGTTGTTTTGGATTCTTTTGGGGGTTGTGAAAAGGTATGCTGCGGGTTTTCTCATTTTCTTCTTGGGTTTGATGGTGGTTTGCTTAGGTATGTTCAGAAATCTTTCGGGTATGCTTAGGGCTCTGTTTAAGGTTGTCTAGGGATGTTGAGGCTTCACTGAAGGATTCCTTATGAAGATTTTTAAGGTGTGCTTAAGGTTACTTGTCGGGATGGGTGGAGGGTCCGAAGGGTCAGGACGGGTGGGATGGTCGGGACGATTCGTACGGCTTGGGCGATCAGCATGAGGATGGATGGGACGGGTAGATTCTGATCCTACGACTCCGATCCAACATACCTAGCCATAGAACGGCTCCCAACAGGTTTCCTCTATGTTTTCAGAAGAGCGGTTTCTGGATGGAAAAGCAGTTACAGCAGTATGCCTGACACAGACATGGCATTTTGACATGTTCTAACAAGAATGTGTACGGAACCACGAAGCCTCGCATATGTACACAGAGGCCCTGTTGACATTACCAAGCCCCAGCTGTTTGAAGAAGGATTTTCTACAAGCATCATTCAACCACATCCAAAAAGAGATCACTGAAGACTGCTGCGCAATCTTCGCGACAGCAAGAGATTATATATTTAGAAAGAAGGCGCTGCAGAAGTGCTACTCTGGCCAGCGAGTGAGCACTGCACGACCGTGTGCTGCAGGTGTGTCGAAAATTTCAGCAGCTGCAAGTACTGGCCTCACGCAGGTTGGCTTTCAAAAAGATGAGTAACTTAAGAGGAGAGGCATGTCCCTAAACATTTTCAACACAAAATTTAGTTCCACCGAGGTTCCACTGATTCCTGCACTCAAAGAAGGCGGCGACGTTCGATTTGGGAACATTGACCTCAAGGCCTATTGATTGCTACATGCTGCCATGGGTGAAGCCATGCACATCAGCACATGACAAGATGGTAGACGGCCCTTGCACTCTGGAATGCCAGTCAGCTTGGCTAGTATCAAGTTTGCTGTTGACAATGATTGTTGGTTTTGCAGAAGCCACCCAGATGGCAAGACCGATCTTGATGCGTAAGCTCCTCCGAAAATTCGTATCCTGGTATTTCTTTCCCTGGTAGCTCTGCAGAACAGGCCTTAATCAATGCCCAAAAAATTGATTAGGCAAAGCTGGTATAAGACCAAAAGACCGCTAGCTAAAGCTAGATGTATCCTGATGCTTCATCACCACCATTATTTGTGGTGAGGCTTTGACCTCCGACATTTACTCGCAAGATGCACTTGAACTTGTGCGTGAGCATTTGTTCCGGATAATTGGTCAACAAGGCTTGGACAGCTCATGACTTCAAAAGTGATCCAGACTCTTGTCTTGTTACGATGACTGGGACACTGAAAAAGAAGACTGGGCAGAACTTGCCGTACCTATAGCATCCCGTAGCATACAGTCATGTACCCGCCCGAACTGAACTGTAGCATAGCTTGGCTTTCCTCAGATGTTCATGGAAATGATCTTGACTATATTAGTCAGCCTGTGTGGAGACATGACTCCTAGCTACGAGGAAACAGAGGCAGGTTAATGTCCGGACAACAAACGTGCAGTCACGTTCCAGCCAGGTGCCTTAGCCAACATAGGGCCAGGTGAGTGAATCATTTGCGAAAGGACATGATTTGCATGGTCAGATGGGCTGGCAGGCAACCCATCCTTTGCTGGAGGAATGGGTGTTGTTCAGATTGCTCTTTTTCAAGCTGGCCAGGCGCTGTCAATTCCTTTCTTTTCCATCCATGTTGACAGAGGAGCATCTAGCCCTTGGAAGGAGATATGTACTTTTTGTTCGGGTTCCTCCAAGTAGTTGGCAAAAACCCACTGTTCTTGAGCTGGAGGTGTATGCAATGTCGGCAATGTTTGGATACTACCTTCGAAGAGTTGACCAGCGGTGCTCACCCGATGTTTTGAATTTGCATCAGAAAGATTTTGCAACAGTTAAAATGTTTGCACACAACATAAGGCATGATTCAAGTCCTTAGAATGAAACCGTCAGTAGGGTTTGTAGCTTGCACGTTGGGTTTGGTGAAGTTTTTCTGTGTGCCTTGCCAAACACATACATACAGATCTTAAGGCGTCTCAGGGCCTGCATCGCGCTTCACAAAACACAAAGTCACTAAGCAGTCATCAGACTGATATGGCACTGACTGAGATGGCCCCACTGGTGACCCGGGGTTGGTCTCCTTCCATCTCTATACCCATTTTTCACATTTTTGTGATTCCGTTCCAGGCTTATTCTTTACTTGTGGGGCGTGACAGCCTATCTTCCAGGTATCAACTTGAAAAGCTTGCAGGGAACTTTGGCGCATGGGGTGAGAAGGCCGGATCAGAAATGCCTGACATACCCTGCCATCCCGTCCTGGCTCATTCTTTGCAACACCTTGAGAGATCTTGAGAGTTTGTGGTGGTTGCTGATTGCAGCGTGAACATGTCCACAACTTCCACACTTCAGGCTCCCGAGACGACTAGCAATCCTTTCTCGCAGGTGGGATGGGAAGAGCTTAGTTGTGGTATTTGCACCATAATTCAATGCCAGTGATTTCCACCATTGCCGTCAAGAAGCAGCAAAAAGCAATATGGTTGCAGGGGGAAAGCGCCAAAATGCCAAAACCTTGGATTAAAAGAAGGGAACGCAAAGGAACTTGTGTTGCCACTTTCATTTTTGAAGTAGCTTGAGACTTAAATGCAGCATGTTTCTGGTAGACTAATTATGAACTAGTAAACCCATCTGATGATATCTAAAATCATCTAAATAAATAATACATGCAGTAACATGTATCAACTAGATATAGACAACATATTTGTATATGTTTGTGTTTCTCTGTAACTTTGTGCGCGCCTCTGTCAGGATCAAGGCGCTGCGGATTCATTGAAGGAGCGAACGCTTTTAAACATGCGTTAAACATGTGACTGTTTGCTTTTCGATTCTGGTGGCATTTTTCCGCATGAGAAATGTACCTTGAGCGGAGGGGTATATCGAATCTTTCG